TGTAAAGAATCTGTGATATCACCCCACATGTGGCCACACTCACGTGGAAGGGTGATGAAGAAATCTGCGCCTTGAGCTGATCAGATGAAGGAGAGGACAAGGATTTGGGAATACAGCGAGAAGTATTCCATAGTCAAACCCTCTAGTCATCTAAACATAGGTGAATTTCCTTCTTCCATTGTTAAAAAACAAGCTAACAACAGTACCTATCTCTCCCCACCCAAGAAAATCTAAGTGCAGTAGCACTGACTGCAGTCTGTTCAGAACCCAGGGTCTCTCGCCACATCAGCCTTGGGGTGACTAAGTCCGGCGAGCTGTGTCATGATAGGAGACCATCCTCCCACTGCGACCCTCCCTCCCTGCCCACCCAGAGAACTCAGTGTGAAGTGGCCAGAAAAGAGCAGAGCGACCGTTACAGATGCTGTCGTTAGGAAAGCAGAAGGGAGCTCTGGACAGACAGTGGCGACAACGGCTACAACGTCCGGCCAAGTGGAGATTAGGCTGTGAAATAGGTTTTTTGATTAGTGCGTCTGGCAGCTTGGTTCTCTTTTCTGGGAGCTGTGCCAGGTTTTCTGGAAGGTCCTGTTTCACACTATTGGATAACTGGACTTACCCACTTATCCATGCCACGTCTGAGTTGGGTATAGTACAATGTGTCCTCCGGGAGACTTGACAATCTTTACCACATGTTTCTTGTTGGAGGCCTAAGAAATGTTCTGAAAAACAGTGTAGGTTAGCAAAGACCAACGGAAGTGTGAAGACATCTTTAAGCAACGCTTCTTATTCCTTATTATTGGAATACAAAGCAGCTGACTTCTCTAATGCTGCTAAATCTCAAATTCTGAACCCTCTATCAATTTAAATTATAAAACTAACAAAATCAGGCAAAATAGCTTCCCAGCAAAGTGCCTTTAACTTTCCTTTCTTCCTGCCAAGTGGCCCATTCTGATTGGAGCTCTTATCTCTCATAAACCTTTTATAAGCAGCAAGGGTCACTATGGGTGGGGTTTTGTTCAACATTTTCCCTGGTACTGGGTGGATGTAAAGCCTTTGGCTTTCTGTTGAAACTGGCAAGAGCTTAACAAGAGCCATCTGCCTTCTCCTCTGTGATTGTATTTCACGCTGCACCCTGCACTCTCTACCAAATTAATACATCACAGTTTGGAACTCTAATGGCAGCCGACGCTTCTCCCTATCGAACTATGGAGAACTGTGATTTATACGATCAACCAAATTATCATGACCAAGAAACTCAAAATTCAGTTTCTCAAACAATATGTGAAACACGTATTTTTCTCAGCAACCAAGGCAGCGAGCAGCAGTGTAGAGAAAGCCTGCTCCTGTTATCACACAGAGGCAGAGGCCCCTGCATTTCAGTCCTCGGCCCCTAGGGCATCACCTTGCTCACAGGGTAAATGCTAGACCATCACCAGGAAGATGAAGGAGCACAAGTCCGAGACGGGCATTTGTTCATCATCGGAGGAGACCCTGGCGGCCACATATCCCACATGTCCTAACATAGTTACAGGGTACCTCAAGATGAAAGGGCAGCTGAGGGATGTAGCCACTACCTCCAAGCCAATTACCCAAGTAAAACTGTTCCACGGAAAAGCTGAGAAGTGACACTGAGCAGCAGTTAGGAAGTCTGTGCGCCCATTACGATTATTTCTGCCCCTCATTCTCCATTACCCGTCATTTCACAAGTGTCCTTTAGGTTCCATTTTCCTTAGCGTTCTGAAAGTTACACTTCCTTCTTGGTGTGTATGTCTTATGTATGATAGTAACCGCAGCTTCTTGGTTAAGGTCTGTCTTGTTGCTGTCCTTTTTATCAATTAAAATACAAATTAGAATACAGCTATAAATATAATAATATCACAAGGTTGCATTTGGGGCCACTGGTCTTATCCAGCACACTCTGGGATGTATTATTGGAGGATTACTCAGAAAAACTAATTGTAACAAAGCCGAGAACTTGGTACCAGGGGCAGTATCTTTTCCCTACCAACAGGAATCCTGCTGAAGTTACTTTTTCTCATGACTGTTCTTCCTTGGTCTTCCATGGATTTAACGTCATGTAACAATTTTTAGGACTGTACTGCATCCATATGATGGTTCTGGATTGGGTTCAACCATTTCTTATAAGACAAGTGTGTGAAGAAGGCATAAGCAGTCAGCCAGCAGCCAGTGGCACGGCGCTGTGCAAGTTTAAGGAGGATGGGAGAAGATACATTACCACGCGCTTTTACTAGATGGTTGTGTGCAAACATTCTGAGCAAGGAGGGCTGCACTGTGTAATCTTGTTTCCCCAACTTCTTTTTAGCAAATTGAAGTTAATATCCTATAAAATGCATCCCAGGAACATAAAGCTAATCAAACTTCTCTCCGTTCATTCCTAATATATTTTTTTTTGTTGTTTGTTTGTTTTCTTTTGGTTTGGTTTGGTTTTTGGTGCCAGAGATCAAACTCAGGACCTTGCACTTGTGAGGCAGGTGGCGAAACCACTAAGCTCAATCCCTGGCCCCTAGATTTTTATTTCCTTATTTGCTTCTTGTTCCTCTACTGTCAATGAAAGTTTGAGTACTTAATACACAGAGACCTCTGAGATTTCATGAGCAATAATGACAGCTACTTCAGAGAGCAACTTCAGACTCCGCTATCCCATCCGCCCTGTCTTTGGCATCCACCCCATGCTCAGGCCTTGCAGTTTGGTATCTGATACTAAGCCGCTTCCTTGCTGTGCCTTTTGCATGTAAAAGGAATGGAAGTTGGAGATGTAGCTTGGTGGTAAAGCACTTGCCTTGGATGCATGAAGCCCTAAATTTGCTCCGTATCAGTACAAATGAATAAAAGGATTGAGTGACCCTGAGATGTTTTATGAATTAAGGTTCAGCCAGGGGACAACTGACTGATATCCAACTTTAAATCACAGAGCTTTTTGCAGGAAAAGAAGTGTTTACAGATCCCAAAGGAAGAGTAAAACTGTATAGGAATTGTTTATCCAAATGCTAGCTTATTTTTCCCACTTTTTACACAATGTTTTTTAAAAATTATGACATGGTTACATGAGGGTACTCCTCTGCATAGTATCTAATACTCCTATAAACAATTCATTCTTTTGTTTCATAAATATTTTTTGAGCAGAAAAGCAGCCCATGAATAAACAGAGACTAAGTTCTTCTAGGACTTCAGCCTGCCTATGGGAAGCAGCTCCTAAATAAACAGGCAAATCAATAACATGCTGTGTATATAACGTATATGCTGTGACTGATAAATACAGGATGAACATGCCGGAGTAGTTCACACAGAGGAGCAGATCAGAGAGAGCGATCAAACCACAGAGAACGGACAGTCAGGCAGCCAGAAAAGGACTTTGACAGGAAGTGGGAGCCAGAGATGGAAAAGCCTGATACAGTCACGTGTTTGCCATGTTGGGGGAACATGTCGGAGCCTGGTGTTCCCAGAGGCGAGTGGACAAGGGCTCAGTGGTAGAGAGGGAGTGTGGACCCACTGGGGAAGCCAACTACACAGGCAAATAAGAGTGCTTCTCTTCTTTTTCCTAAACAATATGGAGGGGCCTTGACAGGTGTTTAGTGGAGAACTTAGAAGATCTAGTTTATACCTGTAAAAATGACTTTGACTTCTTGGAGGACAATAGAAATCGCAAGCAGGGCATGGGACCAGTTAAAAGATGATCGTATTCTTGACAGCAAGAGATGCTGGTAGCATTTAACCATAGCTGGAGTTGTGGATCTGTTTAGCCATGTTTCGGTCATAAATACATTTTGAAGCTGAAGTGAAAGAATTTGCTGTTTGAATTGAGCATTAGATTTCAGAGAAAAGAGAAAACCCCGTGGCTTTTGGCAAAAGGAGCACCAGTTAAGGAGGAGTCATCGATAAAGTCGTGAGTGACGCAAAAGGAACAGGGCTGAGTGGGAGAGAAGATGGAGTTTTCGTTCTTGGATGTGCTTGGCTGCCCTCCAAATGGAAATGGGTGCCGGGTGCGAGAGAGCGGAGCCGGGCGGTGCAAGGGTGGAGGTGGGACTTGGAAGTCTGGAGTAGAGCGGCATCAGGTGAGCAGCCACAGGGAACCTGCGGACACAGGGCCCAGGGCTAGCCAGGGTCTGCCTGCTGGGAGAGGGCAGAGGAGCCAGTAGGGGGCTCAGAGACCCTGAGGGAGGTCACAAGGGAGGCCAAGAGTCTGGGGGACGAGGATGGCATTAGAGTAGAGTGGGGACCGAGCCTACTCCATTGACTGCAAACATTAAGGACCCGAGGAGAGAAGAGCAGCAGGGACATCGGCCGGACTGGCTGCCTCCGGCCGCGGAGCGAGGGTCTGTGGCTTCACCTCCTTCCAGAGTTTGCCCGGAAGCACAGAGGGGAGGGCACAAGGGGTGGATTCGTGGGAGGGCAGCATGTCCAGGATGGAAAGTCCTCAGGTGTCTGGGGACAAATAGGAAGGAAGCCTTAGAGGGGAAACTGAGGCGCTGGGGCTGGTGGCAGGGCAGAAGTGTAGTCTGGGTAAGACACAGAGAACACTTTGACAGCTACTGCGTGTGGAAGTGTTTAGGAAACTGCTGCCTGAAAAGGAACCACTGATCTATTGGAACAGTGCAGGGGGCGATCTGGAGGGAGGAGAGGCGCGATGACAGCTTGGAAGTTCAGTGTGTGTTTCCAAGGCCACAGCGCTAAGAGCCGGCCACTCTGACCACATCGTCAACTTGCGCAGCACTGTTTCTTGGCAAAAGACCCCTATAACTTTCCTCGAGAAAGTTTGAAATATTATACTTGTGTTTTAGGGGAAACTTGATTTATCAAATTGGAAGACAACTGTGAAAAATCACGGTGCTCCCGCCTCTGGTTTCCTCCTGCACACCTCTGTGAAATGTTTTGTGCCTGGAGGCCCTGCTGGTCCCTGAGTGCCCACTCTGACGGGTTCCACGGGATTTCTGGTGGCTCCCTCCCGCCTGCGTGACACTGACTGCTGTCTACATCTGTTGCAGTGTGCCCGAGTACTACGAGTACAGCCACCGAGCGAGCGAGGATGCCTACGACAGCTACGGTAAGACCTTCCTTCCCCACCGCTGCTCCCCACCTGGTCTCCACAGAAGTCGAGGGTAGATTGGTTCACGTAATTCCAGTGTAGGATCTGCCATACAGGGCCAGCACCTTTAAATGGGATAGATCAATTCTGACCAAACTTCAAAAAGCAATTAATCACAATCACAGGTCATTTGCACAGCCACTGTGAGTGTCCTGAGTAGGGTCTTACACGTTTCACTGCCTTTGCCTGAGTAATGGATCTGATGGTGACATTATGTCTTCTCTGTGTCCCAAAGACTACATAGAGTACATGTGAAGTACTTTAAGACTTTCAACAGAGACTGTTCCTATGCCATAACTTTAAAAATTATTTTTCTAGCACGAATTGATGTTAAAAGTGCCAAATAATGCTTGACTTGTAGGAATCAACAATCTGTAAGCGTTTCTTTCACTCTATGAAGTTAATTTTAGAATTTACTATTCAACTGAGGGTAGAATTCATCATAGGCCTTCCCATAGAGTGCTGGGGCAGCACACGGCTTTTGAGGCACCCTCTCCATTCTAAGGTGCTAACAGCTGACCCCAATGCAAAGCGACCCTGGGGTTTGCCATCCGGAGTGTTATTAAAATCGTCCCCCAGTTCTGATCCTCTTTATGGCAAGCTAAGGCACAGCTGGAGCGCTGCCTGTGTGGGGCTCTGTAGGATGGGGCTGTAGGGCTGGGCCAGGGAAGAGAAAGGGGTTGGGGCGGAGGAGGAGGGAGAGCTCCCCCGACCGCAGCCAGAGACCCAGGCCGGGCGCCCGGGCAGCAGCACCCGCCCCAGGTCGCCTCCCGGGGTCAGGGCCGACTGCTCAAGGCTCGCTCTCCCGTGGCTCCGTGTAACATGCTCATCTGCTCCAGGTTCCCTCTCCGTTCTTGAGAGGAAACTGAACGGTGCGGAGAAGCCAAGTGAGAGCGCAGCAGCTGGGCCCAGCTCCTGCTCCGTTCACTGCGGGCGGCCGCACTCCGGGAGCAGCCCAGGCTCTGAACTAAGTGGCCCGAAAGGATTTGGGGAGCCACAGCGGAGGGCAGAGCCTCCCAGCGTGCGTGAGCCTGAGGGCTGGGCTCCTCCCCGAGCAGACAGCGGGACTGCGGGGTGTGTGCTGATCCCTCCCGCCGGCCTCTGTCCGCCCTGCATTTCACAGGTGAAGAACAGGCTCGCTGGAGGTTAACTTGCCTCGGGTGAAACCCCAGCTAGAGCCAGAACAAGAGGGCAAAACCGATTGCTTAGTGCCCGGCTGCCTTGACTTGTTTTTGCCCAAGAGCAGGAGCAGAGTTTAGTGGATTTTAGGGAAAAGAAGAGGACCTGTTGCTTTAAATCCGAGTTCCTTTCAAAGGGTGTTCAGCTCGGGTTCATTTCTCTGGATCTTGTCGCTGCTGTTCCTCCCCGCTAAGACGAGAGGCGTCTTTGCCCCCTGTTCCACTAGAAAGAGAAGCAAAGAGCCAGTGGCCCAGGCGCGCCCGGCTCCCACCCGAGTGGAGCCTCCGGGGCGCTGGTCAAGCTGACCCAGTCTTTGCTGCCGATCACGTTTTTGCAAACTGTTACAGAAAAGTAGATGGCAGGATCCCAATGATGAATGGGACTTGATCTTATATCTGAAATTTACCAATAACATATTTTTTAAAAAGAACAAAGAAACCATCAAAACAAAACAAAAAGACAAGAAAAGCACATGGCGACGACCACCGGCTCTGGAGAGCGGGCCGAAGTGCAGCTCTAGTTCGTCCTGGGTGCTCTCACTAGGTGAAAGGAGACGCCTAGAGGGGACGGTGCGGTGAGAACATCAGCATCCGAATCCCGGACAGTGTCCCGCGGGCAGGCTGAGGTGCGGGATTCCCGTGTCCCAAGCTTCCGCCCTGCCCGCCCAGCATCCCGAGTTGAGGGCGCAGCGACTTTTCTTCTGTTGCACGCACGTCCTCCGTGCCCAGCACGCTGGCGCTAGCACTGCTCAGTTAGTGATGGGGTCGGACCTGCATGAAGACCCAGCCGTGACTGCTTGCCGCTCCAGGAGTTCGTGGATGAACAAGGAAAATGGTTAATGGGTAACATCTGTAAGGCACTGTCCTCAAATCTAGAGAAAATGCAGTGAAACATCATTTGAAGCTGACATTCAAAGGAGAACTATATTATTATTCTTCTAAAAGCAATTTTGAAAGCGTGAATCTTCATTTTCAAATTAGAGTCATTATTTTCTGTACTTGGCACACCAGTTTGGTGGAATCACTTTTGCGAGCTCTTCCTCACCTAATTACCAGCCCTCACATCTGTGGTAGGGAGAATTAATGATGTCGGATGGGGCAACTCATGGGAGACGGAGTTTCCACTTCTCGATTATTCATACTAGGAAATGTTACTATTATGTAAGGCAGCAGGAGGAGCGTGTGAATGCACATATGGCTCCTTAGGCCTCCTAAGGGAGAGGCAGGTGGCGGGGTCCAGAGGCCAGGTTCCGTCCTGGGACTTCACCGGCCTTACCTTGCTCTGTCGTAGTTGGCTGGCTCTCTCGATGAATCCACACCTAGAGGTGTTAACCCACTTTAATACAGAAGTCGTAGCTCTCCGTGAGCAGTAGGTATCACATTGATCAAATGAACAGCAAGCAATTCTGTACCCAAAGAAAGCCAATAAAGTCTTTAAATGAATGAGGAAAATTTAGAAAAGGATTTTACTGCCAGAGGAAACAAGGTATTAGGCAGCAGTGTGCCCTCCAGTATTTTGGCTCAACTGGTCATCCCCTCCCCGCTGGCGACTAGACGCGAAGGTGTGTAAATGTGGCGCCACTCTCGTTTTTTAGCCTCTAGAATCTGGTGCCTGTTTTTCTCCTTTATTGAGCAAGCATAAATTCAAGCGTACTCATATTCAAAGTATTTTTTCTCTTTCTGGGAAATAATAATATTCTAACCCTCTGTACATTTTAATCTGGAAAGTGCTCCCTGAAGATAATTATTCTGGACAGAATGGAATGGCTGACTTTGTTGAGGCTTGGAGTCATGTTCAGGAGACTGAGGACAGAAATCCGAACAATGTGTGGCTGCCTGTGGCACAGCATGGCTCTCCCAGGAGGGGGATGTGTGTGAGACTGTGCCCGGCCAGATGCCAGGACCCTCCCCATCCACCTGTAGCCCTGCAGGCTTTCCTACAGTCTGCCTGGGAGCACGCCGAGCCAGGAACAGGGGTATGAAATTCTCAACCAAAGCACCTGCATATTCAGTAATGCATATTGAAGTGGGTGTTTTTGTGGATTCCTAGCCGGGAGTGCTGGAACACCTGTTTTCTCAGCACTCTGGGAGGCTGAGGCAGGAGGATCACAAGTTCAGTCACAGCCTGGAATTTGGTGACTTAGTGGCCTGCCTCAGAAATAAGAAATGATAAAAAATATAAAGGGATGGGTGACCTAGAAAGGTCACTTCTCAATTCTCAGTACCACAGTAAATAAGTCAATAAATAAGATTCCTTTTTTTGCCATAGGCATTTGGAAATATAAGCAGATGTAGAAATCTTATTAACCCAAAGCAAAGTCATTTTCCTTACTGTGAAAAGAAATATACATGCAGTATGGAGAATATAAGTAAATAAAAACAAAATTTAAATCAAAAATTAATTATACTGCTATATCTGTCAATCTATATGTGTGTTATGTTTTCTCAGTAATCTTAGCCATCAATATGCATAATTTATTTAAAATGAGAGCAGAACAGAAGCTATTTAAAATTCCTTTTAAGTTTTTCCTATCAAAGTTTTTTTCTACTTCTCAATCTTTAGTATCATTCCTTGACAAAAAAAATAGTTTCATATATTTTTTCATGTGTTAGCACAGTTAAACACTAAAGGATACACCCAGTTTGGCATAACCAAAATATGAAAAATGCACGTGCTTGTCAGTGCACATGGTCCTGAGATGTGCACGAGCATTTTCATGTTCTCAAGTCCTGAGGCTGCAGCAGGGACCAAGCCGAGTTCAGCAGCATCATCTGGGCCCAGTGGTGACCTCCAGGGCCGTCAGAGCTGGGCTGAGGGTGTCAGGTGTCAGGTGATGTCATCCTCGATCCGCACCTGAGCAAGGCATCGTTTAAGTGCACATATGGGTGGCATGAGCCCACTGGAGTGGAATGTAGGTTAATGTTTCTCACTGATTCTGCGTTCCTCCTGTATTGACCAACCTCGGTGTACAGGTGTGTCTGCTCTTCAATGAGCTGTGCATGGTCTTTTACATCAGCAACATCATTTTCAAATGTGCACCTTGTACCTCCACTTCTCTGCTCTCCTATATGAGTGGACATCCCCACGGCCTTCTGGTTGGCCATGGCTGTCGTGTGGGGTCCCAGTGGAATGTCTGTTTCCTCAGAAGCAGCCTCCTGGCTGTGGACCATTGTTGGAGGACACTGGAGTCAGTTGCCCACGTACCCTCCTGTCTTGCTCTGCTTGTTAGAAAAAGTCTGTGGCTCTGGGAAAGGAGAGAGACAGGCATCCAGGGAAAAGACCAGGGCCTGCATTCTAAAGAGGCCCAAATAGAATTTCTCTTTGTAGCTCCCTTCAGATGCAATTTAAAATAAACTAGCATAAATAAAAAACTAGTCCTTCAACTTGGAAATTCACTCTGAATCTTAATACATTATAATTTTATTTATTATTGAGATGGGGTCCTGGTATGTAGCCCAGTCTGGGCTCAAATCTATGGGTACAAGTAATCCTCCTGCCTCAGCTTCCTGAGTAGCTGGGACTCTGGGCACAAGCCACCCTGCCCGGCTTCCATCCCTACATTGTATTTTGTGCCTTAACAGAATGAAATCGTATTTGTGTCATTTGGCCCATATTTTATTGTTGAAATATGGACTTCAAGAAAAGCATATATCCTTTTTGGGGTTGCTCACAAATTATTGAAAGTATCTACAGATAATTTAATATTAATTATAAAATGATTTTTCTTGCAACAAGGTAAATATTAACATTTAAATATTAAATGTAACTAAATAATATAC